AGCCGCCATTACGGCCCTCCTGCATCTTCCCCCCGTCCAGCACCTTTCAATCTGCAACAGCCGACTTTCCATCTTATTGGGTGTGCAAGCCCCCCCCCCGGTTGGCCCTTTTTTGTGGCTGGGGGGGGGCTTTTCTGTTTACCACCCTTATCATCCACCCTAGCTGGCCCCTCCAATTACGTCCCATCTTTATGGACTTAGCCCGCTGGACTTTCAACTTTGCATTTCTCCCCCTGGACTGTGTCTATTATCGTGGCTATCATCGTCCCCTACTACGTCAGAAACTTTACCCTAGCCATCTCGACTATTATTCCTCCTACACCAGACTCTTAGAGAAAGAGGCCACTTTAGCTCCCTCATGATAACTAAGCCCATCAAACCTTTTCTGATACAGGTAGTGGTGGAAGCAGTCAGGCAATGACAATGTACAGCCCTGATCGATTCAGGGTGCACTCATTGCTTAATGAATGCCTCTGTCTCTGATAGTCTGGGGGTGGGCCTCAGGAAGTTGGCTAGGCTGATCTGTTTCAAACAGATGGATGGGTCGTTATTGGGGGGCCAACCAGCCACTTATGTAACTGATTGGGTGGTATTGCAAATAGGGCCCCATCGGGAGGTCCTGCATTTTGTAGTGGTTCTAAACATTACAGAGGAGATTGTACTAGGCCTGGTGTGGTTGGACAAATGGAGACCCACAATATGGTGGGGTAGTGGTAGTAGGCATCTCAGAATAGGCCTCGGTCCTGACCCCCCTCCTCATGAGGCACAAACCACGGCCCAGGGCCCGGTGGAATTCTGAGCTACAGTGCCATTGGTACATACAGCTGGGGAGGAGCGATTCCCTCAAGTATATGCAGACTTAAATAGGCAGCTTCCACTCAAGTACGTTGCAGACCAACTTGTGCAGCCGAACGTGAGTGAAATAAACCCTGCCCTGGCTCACCCCACATTCCCCTTCCCTAGCAGAGGTTCTGCAACGTACTGGAGTGGAGATTTTTACTCCTTCCACACAGTGACAAGTGAAATGACCCATTACCCTGCAGCTGAGCTGCAGACAGATCCCCCATCAGCATGTGGAAAGCAATCCAGCCAGCAGAAAGGTGCTTGGGCAACATTTCCCCCTAGCCAGCCACCGATGTTTGGGCTGCAGCCTGTGAATCAAGCACCAATGGGGTGGGCTTCCTTCCCAGGTCATGGATAGGAGAGATACCAGTGGCTGTCTGCTTGGCCACCAACATGGGGAAATCAATCCAGCCAGCAGGAAGGGGCTTGGCTCACATCTCCCCCTAGCCAGCCACCGATATTTGGGCTGCAGCCTGTGAATCAAGCACCACCAGGATGGGTTTTCCTCCCTGGTCATGGATGGGAGAGATGCCAGTGGGCACCTGCCTTCCCTCAGCAGATGGCACCATGTCAGATAACTAGCCAGGGGCCAACCCAGGGATTGACTCCCCCACTGATTCCAGTCCCACCTGCAATGCCCCAACAGGCTCTTACCCCACCTTCCAGCAGAGAAATAATCTCGACAATGGCAGAAGGGATGAATGAGGGGGAAGCTGCAGGATGGATAGCAGAACATTGTGACGAGGCGGCTCCTAACTTTAGAGATGCAATTGGGTTCCTTCCCTTGGGGGGGGGGGAATAAAATGCCACAGTTGCTGTCAACCTGGTCACAGAGTGTCAGAGTGCCTGGCTCTAGCCCCAATCTCACAAATGTGCGCAACAACTGCCAGCATGGTAAAGAGAAGGCCTCGGAAGCCACCAGAAAATAGTCATATGGGTCAACAACCTCAGAAAGCAGATCCCCAACCTAAGGTGATGAATAGTCCAACCAATGGGGAAACCTCAGAGGAAGAGAATAATGTAGATGACCACTACTGAAAGGAAGTGGGCCATTTGGGAGAAAGAGGCATTGGCGATCAGGTGGTCCCTGCTCAGTTGGAGACAATTACTGGAAGGGGGGATATGCCGTTCGAGGTCTGGACTGATCATAAAAACCTCGAAGCTCTCAAGGCCCATCGAAGACTATCCCCAAAACAAGTTCGATGGGCACAATACTTCCAAAGGTTCAAATTTGAACTGAAACACATCCCTGCAGGGAAGAACTTGTTGGCGGATGCCTTGTCAAGAAAACTGCAATACAACAGTAAGAAGGAAGAAGTTGTTCACCCCATCATTTCTTCCTCCCACCAAAAGTTTCAAGGTTCAAGGTTCAAGGTTTATTACACTTGTATGCCGCCCTATTCCNATTTGTCCTTGAACATTCTTGCTATTCTGGCCGGGGGTAAGTGCCACCTGTAAAACATCTTATGCAAGTTTTCTTTATATGCTGTTGACATTGTCATTTTATAATTTTGTGACCATAAGTTTTGCCATTTCTCTAAATCAATTCCATGACCAAAATTTTTCCCCCAAGCAATCATAGATTCTTTAACTTTAACTTGTTCTTCTTCTAGTTTAACCTCTAATAAGTATCCATATAATTTTTAATCACCTTTTCATCAGTACCTGTCAGAATTTTATACAAGTCAGTCATTTTATCATAAAAACCTTCTATTTTAAAATCTTTATTATATCTAGAATGTATTTGCGTGTATGAAAACCAGTTCATTCTTATACCTTGTTCTTCTAATTCTTGCATAGATTTACCGTGTTTCCCCCCAAATAAGACATGGTCTTATTTTCTTTTGACCCCCAAAATAAGCACTTGCCCTTATTTATGGGGAGGTCTTATTATTTTTCAGGTGCAGGAGGCGGTGAGCATAGTCGCCTCATGGCTGCTGCTGTGTTACAATGTTTTCAGGGAAGGGCTTATTTTAGCACATGAACTCAAAAGCTTGATTGGGCATGTGCAATACGCATGCGCAAGGAATATGGCCAAAAAACTAACCTGAGCCGAAGCCAGAACCTGCCAAAAGCGAAAATTTCGGCAGGTTCTGCCGAAAGGCAGGGGGGTAAATTAGCTGGAGGAACGCTGCGGGAGGAACGCTGCTCTGAATGGCTTTCAGACAGCATTGCTGCTGCTCGCGGACGGCAACTCCACCCCAACTGCCGTGGCCTTGGCTCGCTGCTACAAGGCGCCGCTGGGCTTGTGTTGGTGCGTTGAATTCCAGCTTCCCTTGTGCTCTACAGCCTCCACAGCCTCTACAACCTCAGGGGGGTTGGTGAGTTGGTGCTGGGGTGCTGTGGGGCTGGGCGTCTGGTCTGTTTACCGCCGCCGCCGCTGCTGTCCCGGGTGCACCCCCCCCCCTTTTCTCCATTGCGGCCTCTCTGCCCTTTGCTGCTGCCGCTGCGGGCCTTCACTCTTCTACCCCACGCTCTGGCTGCTGCGGGCTCGGCTTTCTTGAGACCCGGCTTTTCTGAGATGCTACGGCTGGCTTCCCGCTGCTGTTTGCTGCTGCCATCCACCCCTGTTTTGGGGCGCGCCCCTTTGGGCGACATTGCTTCTCCAGCTGCCTTGTCTTCAGTTCGCCATATTGGGGGAAATGGGGCGCCTTGAGACCACTGTTCCCTCTAAGGTGCGCGCCTGCGCGGCCGCGCACATGGCTGCAATTCCCCGCGCAGTCGTTTCTAATTGCCGCNTAGAAAGTGTGGCAGGCCAAAGATCCTAAAAAAGGAACATAACTGCAGGCCTGACATCTAATTAACACGACCCCCACATTTGTGGCTGGTGTTTTTGTAGCGGACGACAGACAGGGCCTTCTCAGTTATGGCACCCCAGTAATTTGGGGAGGGGGGGTGGCTTTTCATGCATCATTGTTTTTTCCTATGCCTTTATAGTTTAACTGTGAGGAACACCCTAAAACAGCTGTTAATTTTCATTTTCATTTGTTTTGCTTTGGTCCACTGTTGCTGAATAAAACCTTGCTTTCCATAATTGTTTCTTAACATGAGAAGATGCTGAGGAATGAGTTCCATTAAATAAAACCAAACATTACAAAAATCCACGTCTCCCAATCTTAAATATTTATTAGTTTTATAACAGAAACGACTCCTGATCCTTCTCCCCCACCCCCCTTTTCTCTTTGCAGCATAAATAATAAACTGCAGCAACCGGAAGCCGCATCTGGGGTGCTGGAATACGCCATGAAGCATTTTGGGGAGCTGGTAAGCGATCCCTCTGTTTTTGCCCATCGGCTTTGTGCGTTTGGAAGCCTCCCGTCTCACGTGGAGGGACTGCGTGTGCGGCTTGATCCTGGGGAGGAATCCACCGCTTGGCAACTGTCACATCAGGAACTGCCAAAGGGCTAAATCAAAAAGGCCGGAGCCTGCATGGGGCCAGGGACACAAAAATCAAAAAAGGAGGGGGGAGGGTGTAGAAAAAAAAAAGCTTTTGTATTCTTATTGTTTTTATTACAAGTGAAATTCCTTAAAAATTAGCAGAAACAGGAAGAGTCGGGCAGCACTTTTTCAAACTCACAAATGATAAACATGCTGACAAGAGTCTTATTGTTTTATTTTGTGTGTTATTAATGTAGTGCTTAATTGTTGCGTTTGAGTTGCAGCTCACAAAAACGCTACCAAATGTATTGTGCTGATGGGCGTCATCTAAATATTGGAGGCAATCTAGGTATCCTTTTTCAAAACTTTAGATGCCTTCTTCAAAAAGGATAAGTAGGTAGGAAGTGGATTTTTTTTTTTAATTCCAAAAGGGGAAAATTTGGGGCTTCTTTTGTGAAAAGTCTGCCTTAATGCTGAATTACAATCCACTTCTAAAAAGGAAAATTTTCTGAGATGAGAACAGTGTTTCTCAGAAGCCTCAACGCCCAGAATTCTCCAGCCATGTTGAAGCCCACCCAGTCTAAGTCTAAAGTTGCTAAGGTTGAGAAATACTTGGTTTAGGGCAGCTAAACAAAATGGCAGAGACCCCTTTCTGCGGTATTTCCCCACCGCTTTAGCTTCAGAAGGAATTCCAATAGGTTCGTTTCAGTTGGGCTGCCCCATTGCCAATGGTTGCTGTGTGCCAGTTGGGGATATTCTGCATTTTATTCACCACCACCACCATTTCCTGGCCCCTCCTTCTAGGAAATCCAGGCCACCTGGTATGAGAAGCTGCACGAATGGGAAGATGCCCTTGTGGCCTATGACAAAAAGATGGACACCAACAAGGATGACCCGGAGCTGATGCTTGGCCGCATGCGTTGCCTGGAAGCCTTGGGGGAATGGTAAGAGCCCAGTGATGTGCTTTGCTCTTGGGAGCTTCTGATGAGGACACAAATGGAATGCTGCATCCAGTTCTGGTCACCACAATTTAAAAAGAATGTTGTTAAGACTCTAGAACAGGGGTCCTCAGACTTTTTAAACAAGGGGCCAATGGACAGTCCCTCACTGTTGGGGGGCTGGACCAGCTGGGTGGGCGTGGTCATGTTACTGGGCGGGCATGGCCAATTTAGCAGTCCAAACAATACAGAAAAAAATTAAACTTTAATTTGTTTTGCTCCTGGAGGTGGAAAGCAGGTTAGTGAAGGGATGTAGCTGCCTTGAGGTGTATATGAGGGACTTCTATTTGCATGTGTGTCCCTCCATCCCTCCCTCTCTCTCTAGAGACCAGGGAGCCTCCAGAGATCTCCACATGTCCCATTTTTGGCCTCCAGAAGGCAGATGGGGGCCTGCGGGTTGGTGATGTGATGTGAGAGAGGCAGCCTTGTGGTCCCCCGCAGGCCGGATTAATGGTTTTGGCCGGCTGTATCTGGCCCACGGACTGTAGTTTGAGGACCCCGATCTAGAAAGAGTGCAGAGAAGAGCAACCAAGGTGATTAGGGGACTGGAGGCTAAAACATACAAAGAACAGTTGCTGGAACTGGGCAGGGCTAGTTTAGTGAAGAGAAGGACCAGGGGAGACAGGAGAGCAGCCTTCCAATATTTGAGGGGTTGCCACAGAGAGGGGGGAGGGGTCAAGCTATTCTCCAAAGCACCAGAAGGCCAGACAAGGCATAATAATGGATGGAAACTGAACAAGGAGAGATTCAACCTGGAAATAAGGAGCCGTTTCCTGGTAGTGAGAACAATCAATCAACAGAATGGCTTCCCTCCAGAAGTTGTGGGTGCTCCTTCACTGGAGGCTTTCAGGAACAGATTGGACAGCTACCTGTCAGAAATGATATAGGGCCTCGTGCCTGAGCAGTGGGGTTGCACTAGAAGACCTCCAAGGTCCCTTCTTCCAACTCTGTTATTCTGCCCTTCCTTGGAGGTCTCTTTCCTCAGGCTCTTTATTTCAAGCAGTGTTTCTCACCCTGGCCACCTTTAAGACGTGTGGATTTCAGCTCACCAGAATCGCTTTGAACAGTGAGATGGGTGAAATATAAATGTAGTAATAAAATCAATTTGGGGTTTTTCTGCTGGGTTTATAACTCTCGTGTCTCTTGGGCCCTAGGGGGCAGCTGCATCAGCAGTGCTGTGAGAAATGGACTTTGGTGAATGATGAAACACAAGCCAAAATGGCAAGGATGGCGGCGGCAGCAGCTTGGGGCTTAGGTGAGACTGTCTACCTCACCTTTTGCTCTTCGAGGGTCTTCCGGGGAGGAATCCCTGGGGTTCACGCTTGGCCAAGGCAGCCTTGCAGAGGCAGTCCCACACCTGGCTTGGCCAAAGGGGCTCTCTCATACTAGATGTTCTCCTTGCATCGTCCCGAGCCATGAGATCAAACAATATCTCAGCTTCTCTCTTTGGCTAGCATAAAATGGTCATGGGCCTCAGTGGCACAGTGGTTAGAGGGCATTACTGTAGGCTCCTTCTGCTGACTGCCAGCTGACTGCAATTTGGCGGTTCGAATCTCACCAGGCTCAAGGTGGACCTTCCATCTTCCCAAGGTGGGTCAAATGAGGACCCAGATTGTTGGGGGCAAGAGGCTGATTCTGTAAACCACTTAGAGAGGGCTGTAAAGGCACTGTGAAGCAGTATATAAGTCTATATATATATTTGCTATTCCCCCTTCCCATATCCATATACTATTTGCCCCAGTTTTGCAAAGCCTTCCAAAATCAGTGGTGGCTGCTAGATCCTAAATTTTGCAGGCACAGGTGAAAAGTCTGAACAACCCCAAATTCGGCATGAACAAAGCTTAGGATGCAACATGAATAGACAGCTGTGGGATTTTGACCCAACCAGATCCTCCCATTGGCTCAAGCTGGGCTGTTTTCTTTCTGTCTTTCCTCAGGGCAGTGGGACAGCATGGAAGAGTACACCTGCATGATCCCAAGGGACACCCATGACGGCGCCTTCTACCGGGCCGTCCTGGCTCTCCATCAGGACCTCTTCTCTCTGGCCCAGCAGGTATTTCCTAAAGTTTGCCAGCCCTGTTTGGGATTTGGGGGACATTCCTTCTTTTGAACCACATCCTAACCTGTCATGTGTCTGTGGTTGGCAACCTGCAGTTGTTGTTGTTGTTGTTGTTGTTTTACTAGCCACCTGCTTTATATCAGTATAATGAGCTTCCAAGATCCTAATGGTCTATTTATCCAGATCATTGAACTCGAGAGCCCTAAAGAAACATTAGACAACTGCAGTGTTCATCTGTCACTTAGCATCTGAATGCTCTCTTGTATTTTGCTGAGGCAGACCATCCATTCATCCCTCCATTCATCTCTCCATCCCTCCACCCACCCACCCACCCACCCATCCATCCATCCATCCATCCATCCATCCAT